GCAATCTTGGCTCACTACAACCTCCACCTCCTGGGTTCAAGAGATTCTCCTGCCTCAGCCCTCTGAGTAGCTGGGATTACAGGCACCCACCACCACACTCAGCTAAGTTCTGTATTTTTTGTAGATGGGGTTTCACTGTGTTGGCTAGGCTGGTTTCGAATTCCTGACCTCAAGCAATCTGCCCGCCACGGCTTCCCAAAGGGCTGGGATTACAGGCATGAGCCACCATGCTCAGCCTTCCTCGCAGTTTCTTCTACCTGCTTTGCTTTGTTCTTCGCTGTCTCAGGCCCTTTGCATGTGCTGTTTCCTCCTGGCAGTGCATTTCCTTCTCTTTACCTAGTTACATCTACTTTTCACATTTCAGCTTAGTCATCATTTCCTGAAGGAAGTCTTCTTTTTCTAAAACAAAATACTTAAGAGATGGGGTCTTGCTATGACACTCAGGCTGGATTATAGTGGATATTCACAGTCACAATCAGTACTTTCCAGCTTTAACCTCCTGGCCTCAAGAGATCCTCCTGCCTCAGACTCCCAATTAGCTGGAATAGCTAAGGAAACATTTGACTTTCCCAATCAGATCAAATTTCTCTATAATAGTCTCTGTCAGCTACTTTGCAGCACTATCACAATTGCAATTTTTACATTTTGTATAACTTTGGTATTAGTGCTCTCTAGACTATAAAGGCATTAATCTCTTTCTCTTTTTTTAAAAAAATTTTTTCTTTATTTTTATTCTTCTCTGCATATAAAGGTATTAATCTCAAGGGCACGGACCCTTGCCCCACCTATTTTTCTTAACCATGTATCCTTAACCCCTAAGGCAGTGTCTGGCACATAGCACTTGCACTTGTAAACATTTGGTGATTAATGTGAGAAGTGCTGTGTAAATAGCCATAGGGAAGTCAACACCATGCCTCAATAAGGATTTTTCTGAATCATCTGCTTCCAGCAGTATCTCTGTTCTGGGTGCACGCAGCAAGCCTTCTTCCTACCTCAGACCCTCAGTGTCTCAGTTCCTCAACCTTGATGGAACTGCTGTTAATCGTGTTTTCTTTTTTTTTTTGAAACAGAGTTTCACTCTTGTCACTCAGGCTGGAGTACAGTGGTGTGATCTCAGCTCACTACAACCTCCGCCTCCTGGGTTCAAGCAATTCTCCTGCCTCAGCCTCCGGAGTAGCTGGGATTACAGGTATCCGCCACCATGCCCAGCTAATTCTTTGTATTTTTAGTTGAGACAGGGTTTCACCATGTTGGGCAGGCTAGTTTTGAACTCCTGACTTCAGGTGATTTTTTTTTTTTTCTTTTGAAGACGGGGTTTCATCATGTTGGTCAGGCTGGTTTTGAATATCCAACCTCATGATCTGCCCACCTCAGCCTCCCAAAGTGCTGAGATTACAGGCATGAGCACTGCGCCTGGCCAATTGTGTTGTCTTTCAAAGATGCTTTATGTACATGCAAATAAAACATATATAGTCAGTCTTATTATGCGAGTTCTGTATTAGCAGATTTAACCAGCCTTGAATTACAAATATTAAAAAAAAAATTAAAAAGCATTTACATTGCATTCTGTATTATAAGTAATCTACAGATGATTTGAAGTACACAGGAGAGCTGGGTAGAGTGGCTCATTTGTAATCCCAGCACTTTCGGAGGTTGAGGAAAGCAGAGAGCTTGAGCTGAGTTTGAGACTGGCCTGGGCAACATGGTGAAACCCCGTGTCTACAAAAAAATACAAAAATTAGCTGGCTGTGGTGGCAAGCATCTGTAGTCCCAGTTACTCAGGAGGCTGAGGTAGGAGAATTACCTGAGCTTGGAGACGGGGAAATTGAGGCTGTGGTGAGCTATGATTGCACCACTGCACTCCAGCCTGGGTGACAGAATGAGACTCTGTCTCAAAAAAACAAAAAAAAAGTATACAGGAGGATATACACAGGTTATATCCTAATACTATGCCCTTTTATATAAAGGACTTCAGCATCCTTAGATTTTGATATCTGCTGGGGGACCCTGGAACCCATCTCCCCACAGATGAGGGATGACCGTGTGTGTGTGTGTGTGTGTGTGTGTGTGCGTGTGTCACGCACACTCATAGCGGTGCCTCATTCTTTTGAGCTTTTTTTTAAAAAAAAAGTTTACTTTTTTTTTTTTTTTTTTTTTTTTTAAAGACTGGGCTTCACCATGTTTGTCAGGCTGGTCTTGAACTCCCGACCTCAGGTGATCCGTCTGCCTTGGACTCCAAAGTGCTTGGATTACAGGCGTAAGTCACCATGCCCGGCCAAAAGTTTACTTTTTTAAGATGAAGTCTTACTCTGTGCCCAGACTGAGGTGCAGTGGCATGATATTTTGGCTCACTGCGATCTTCACTTCCCAGGTTCAAGCAATTCTCCTGCCTCAGTCTCCCAAGTAGCTGGAACTACTGGTGCGTGTCACCATGCCTCGCTAATTAAAAAAAATTTTTTTAGTGTGGGCGCAGTGGCTCACGCTTGTAATCTCAGCACTTTGAGAGCCAAAGCAGGTGGATCATGAGGTCAGGAGATTGAGACCATCCTGGCCAACATGGTGAAACGCCATCTTTACTAAAAATACAAAAAAAAAATCTGGGGGGTGGCGTATACCTGTAGTCCCAGCTACTCGGGAGGCTGAGGCAGGAGAATTGCTTCAATCCATGAGGTGGAGATTGCAGTGAGCAGAGATCATGCCACTGCACCAAAGCCTGGGTGGCAGTACGAGTCTCTGTCTCAAAAAAAAAAAAAATTGTTATCTATGTCACTTCTCACTTTCAGAATCTAATACTCATCTAATCCTGCTGTGCAACTAGAGTCAGAGGCCAATTGGAAACCAAACTGTGCTAACCAAGCTCTGAAGTCACTGCTGCATTAACTACAATGCCTTAATTCTCTTTACTGCATTTTCCCACATTTCTTTCTTCTTTCATAACATACAGACTTGTGGCTGGACATGGTGGCTCATGTAATCCCAGCACTTTGGGAGGCCAAGGTGGGTGGATCACCTGGAGTTTGAGACCAGCCTGGTCAACATGGTGAAACCCCGTTTCTGATAAAAAAACAAAATACAAAAATGAGCGGGGCATGGTGGTAGGCACCTGTAATCCCAGCTACTTGGGAGGTTGAGGAAGGAGAATCGCTTGCACCTGGGAGGCAGAGGTTGCAGTGAGCCGAGACTGTGCCACTGCACTCCAGCCTGGGCAACAAGAGCAGAACTTCCTCTCAAAACAAACAAACGAACGAAACATAGAGACTTGTAATTGATTGCTTGCTGTCATCTGCACAAGGCCATAAGCTAGTGATTTCAGTGGACAAGACAAATGAGGTCCTTGTTTTTATGGGAAAAACAAAAAAACAAAAAAAAAAAACTTTTTTTTTTTTTTTTTGAGATGAAGTCTGGCTCTGTAGCCCAGGCCAGAGTGCAGTGCAACCTCCACTTCCCGGGTTCAAGCGATTCTCCTGCCTCAGCCACCAGAGAAGTTGGGACTGCAGGTGAGCACCACCACGCCCAGCTAACTTTTGTATTTTTAGTAGAGACAGAGTTTCACCATGTTGGCCAGGGTGGTCTGGATCACTTGACCTCAGGTGATCCGACCCCCTCGGCCTCCCAAAGTGCTGGATTACAGGCGTGAATCTGAACCCGCCTATTTGTATTTTTAGTAGAGATAGAGTTTGGCCATGTTGGCCAGGTTGGTCTCGAACTTATAACCTCAACTGATCCACCCACCTCAGCCTCCCAAAGTGCTAGGATTACAGGCGTGAGCCACCGTACGGCTAGAAAATATATATTTTTTCCCCTGAGAGGGAGTTTCACTCTCGTTGCCCAGGCTGGAGTGCAATGGCATGAGCTCGGCCCAGTGCAACCTCTGCGTCCTGGGTAAAAGCGTTTCTTCTGCTTCGGCCTCCCGAGTAGCTGGGATACAGGCACCCGCCACCACGCCCGGCCTGATATTTTGCATTATTTTTGTCTTTACAGGTTTTTTTCTGTTTGTGAGAGGATTAAATGAAATAATTTGATTAGTAAAGCAATTAGTCAGCACTTAAAATATTTGTAAATGTTATACAAATATATAATACATATTTATGTATATACACACCAAAGTTTCCCATTCTTTCTATGACTGCTTTTTCCCCTTTCCCCTCATACTTTGTCTCTTGAAAAGTTCACACTGTAACCTCCAACTGTTCCAGGTACTTGGTTTGCTTTCAGCACGAAGCTTGTGGGATGCGCAGCCAGTGGGGGGCAAGAATCACCCAGGCGTGCTTATTACCCAAGCAACGGAGTCAAACAGCACTTTCAGAATGACTTTACAAAAGGGTTACCAACAAGGTAATATGTTTATTGTGTTAAGTCGCTTAATAATAACTAAAACATGAAAACGAGTTAAATGAGAAGCAGTAGGGACCGCCCTACTCTTAAGTATTCATTAATTGGGAGCCCCGGTGTGCTGGGCTTGCGGGTGAGCATGAAGACAGGCGTGGGATGGCTGAGCTCGCAAGCCTCAAGCTGAGATCTTGGCAGTGGACGCGCCGAGGGCTCCAGGTTACTAGCGGTTTCACTGCCAATAAAGTGCTTTGAGCAAATCTAACAAGCAATGAATATGTAAACATTTTGTTTCTAGGACTAACTAGGTGATGACGAGATTTTCCAAGTGACAAAAACGCCGCTAGCTAACTTCCTGGGCCGCAGCTCCCCACCCTAACAGGTTCTGAAAATAGCTCCAGGCCCTTCCTAGCCGGAGTTTGAAAGCAGGCGCGGGGCGCATGCGCGCAGCCCACCGGCCGACCTCCCGGTGCCCGGAGCATGCGGACCTTCTTCCCGACAGCCCACGGGGGAAACAAGGGCGGGGAAACGGAATTACCGCGAGCTCTCCTTGAGAGCCGGCGGAAACAGTAATCACGTGACTCTCCTAAGCGGCCTTCGCTTTCCCCCTCCCCCTTCTCGGAAACCCGGCCCCCTCACCCCTCGCCCACCCCAGAGCCGCGGTAATGGACCGTTTGGGTTCCGGAATTCTCTTGGATCCAACAACTGGTACCGGGCCTAGGAAAGCCGGCGGAGTCCGTTTTTGGCGGCGAAGGCTGGGGGGTGGTCAAGATGGGGGGGGAAATCATCTTCCTTCACCTAGGAGGGAGACAGGGCGGAGAGGGGCACAGAGGAGAGGGTGGGGAGGCGGGAGGAAGTCACGTGAGGGCGCGGCGCGCGCTGCGTGTGCGCGGCGCCTCGTCCGTCGCCCCTCCCCCGCCCCTCCCGACGGGGCGGGGGGGTTGGGGGAGGGGCGTCAAGATGGCGGCGGGGAGGTAGGCAGAGTCGGACGCCGCTGCTGCCGCCGCCGCCGCCGCCACCGCCGCCTCCGCTCCAGTCGCCTCTGCTTCTTCAAACTCGCACCTCCCGGGAGGAGCTGTCCTGGCGCCGGGTTCCGCGGGGAAAGTAAGTCCTTCCCTTGGCCGTTTTCTCCTTCCACACTCCCCCTCCCGGACAGCCTCCCACTCCCACCCTCCTAGGGGGGCCGTGTGGGGCCAGGCTTGGGGGGGCAGCCACCTCGCCCCCGCTTGGGGCCTCCCTTGCCGCTCTCTGTCCCCCGCGGCCGCGCGCTCCCGGGCCCTCGGGGTCATGGTACCGGCGGCAGCGCCGCCGCTGCACCCGCTTCCTCCGCCCGTCAGAGCCGGGCCCTGCTGTCGTCGCTCGTGGGGCTTTCGGGCTCCTGGAGCCCCGCTGTCCCGGGCCGGAGGCACCCCCTCTTGAACCGCGGGGCAGAGTCCGTGCACGCCGGCTCCGCTGGGTTCGCCGCGTTGGCTTTCGCCTCACAACCCGGGGCTGCGGGTCCCGGACCCGCGGGGAAAGTAAGGTCCGGATCCTTCCCAAGTCCTCTCTCTCGCCCCAGCTTTGCACCTGGGTCTGGGCGAGGGAGGGAGGCGAGCGACTGGGTCGTCCTTCCTGGATCTGAATCCCGTAGCGGCAGTTTCGTGCACGCCCCGCTGTTGAGGCGGTGGGGAAGCCGCGGGGGACACGTGCAGGCTCCCTTCACGCCTCTCCGGGCGGCTCGCGTGGTTCTGCCTCGGCAGGCGAGCGCACCTCCCAGACCCTAAGAATACACGCAGGGGAATGGCAGTTAGAGATTTGCTGACTTTGAGGGCGTTTGGCGTAACGAGCATCCAGAGTTCCCGAAAGCAGTGTATGCCGGTGGTTTCCCAGAAGTGGTTTGGGGTCGGCTTAACCGCTGAGGAGATTTGGATGTGCCTAAACCCTTGGGATTGTTTCTTTCCTGACCCTGGCATCCAGCTCCTCCCTTTCCCACCCCTCCTTTGTGCTTCTGTTTGGTTAATGTTTGCGGACCACTAACTTGATCCTCGCACCGAGCAGCTTTTTATGTGCGTGCTCGGTTTCCTGTGGGAGGCTTTTGTTTTGGGGAGTCGCTGATGGAGAAACGTGGGAAAAGAACGGGCGAGGAAATGAGAGACAAATAAAGCAACGTTTTTATCCGTTGAATTGCGCAGCCAATTGTAAGTGCACCCGGAAGTTTGTACTGAACACGTGTTAGGGAAGGTTAAAAACTGGTCGGTCCCCTTTGACCTTTGAAAGCTGGTTATTAGCATTTTGTTTTAAGTATTTCTTATTCTCCAGACAACTAGAATTAGGTATAGAATATGGCTTCTAAAGAGTCAGCCAGGAGGTTCCAGAGAGCTGTCAAACCCTGAGGTGCCCTAGCAAGAACTGACTTAGCACTTGCTGATAAGTCTATGAGCTGACAGTACAGAGGGATTCTATTTTCCATCATATTTTCTAGCAATCATAATTCATTTTCATAAGCCTGGGGAAAGCTATCATGGTTGCACAAAAGAGAGCGGAATTTCCTACTATCTGGTGACTTTAGTAGGACGTTAATTTTGCAAGCAAAGGAACATTTTCTCTCATCTTTTAAAGAAGTTTCCAAAATTTTTCGAATCGGAGACGACTTTACTTTTTTCTTCTGGCTTCCGCTTTTTATCTTCCATTCCAACTATATTCCATATAATTGCCTTTAGAATATTTATGTTATTTTTTAATTTTTGAAACAGGGACCCGCTCCGTTGCTCAAGCTGGAGTGCAGTGAACGTGATCATAGCTAACTGCAGCTTGAACTCCTGGGCTCAAGCGATCCTCCCACTTCAGCCTCCAGAGTAGCTGGATTATAGGTGTGTACCACTACAGCGGCTAATTTTTTGATTTTTTTGTGGAGAGGCTGAGGTCTCACCATGTTGCCAGGCAGGTACTGGTCTTAAGTGATCCTCTGGCCTCCGCCCCCCAAAGTGCTTGGATTACAGGCATGAGCCACTGTATCTGGCCCCATCAAAATCTTTTTTATTATTTTTATTTTTTTGAGACAGAGTCTCTCTCCATTGCCCAGGCTCTGTTGCCGAGTGCAGTGGCACAAACGGCTCACTGCAACCTATGCCTCCCATTTTCAAGCAATTCTCCTGCCTCAGTCTCCTTAGTAGCTGGGATTATAGGTGTGCACCCCCACACCCAGCTCATTTTTTTTCTGCCTCAGTCTCCTTAGTAGCTGGGATTACAGGTGTGCACCACCACACCTAGCTCATTTTCTTAATGTATTTGGTGGACACAGGGTTTCACCGTGTTGGCCAGACTGGTCTCACTGCTGACCTCAAGTGATCTGCTCACCTCGGTTTCCCAAAGTGCTGGGATTACAAGCGAAGCCACTATGCCCGGCCCCCCCGTTCAGAATCTTAAATAAAACTTCACTTTAGTTGCTGAAGGGGGGAGATTGCATTAGTGGCCTACTATTCATTCATTCATTCATTGAATGCTGTTATATGTCAGGCAATTTTGTATGTTTTAAGTGCCCTGCTCAAAATACTATTTAGGGGCAGCATGCAGATTCACTTTATGGTTTAAATAGTGGTTTGCCTCCACCAGGTGAGGTGGCTCAAGCCTGTAATCCAGCACTTTGGGAGGCCAAGGCACATGGATCACTACGTCAGGAGTTCCAGACCATCCTGGCTAACACGGTGAAACCTTGTCTCTACTAAAAATAGAGTCTCTACTAAAAATAGAAAAAATTAGCCGGATATGGTGGCACGTGCCTGTAATCTCAGTTACTCGGGAGGCTGAGGCAGGAGAATCACTTGAACCCGGGAGGCAGAGGTTGCGGTGAGCTGAGATGGTGCCATTGCACTCCAGCCTGGACGACAGAGTAAGACTCCATCTCAAACAAAACAAAACAGAAGTGGTTTGTCTCAAGGAGTTTAGCTACAAATATGTTTGGGCATTTCTTAGCATCTAAATTGAGCTTAGATTTGTTACTGGCCACCTGTGAAGAGGGGAAACACTCAGGTCTGGTCTTACTGAGTAACCTCACTTTCCATGCGGCTCTGTGAGTTTACATGCTTTGCCTGTGAAAAGCTGGTGTAAAGATACTTTTTTGTCTTTCTTGAGATGGTGTTTTGGTCTTGTCGCCCAGACTGGAGTGCAATGGTGCAATCTTGGCTCACTGCAAGCTTCGCATCCCAGGTTCAAGAGTTTCTCCTTCCTCAGCCTCCTGAGTAGCTGGGATTACAGGTGCCTGCCACCACGTCCAACTAATTTTTTTATATTTTTAGTAGAGAGGGGTTTCGCTATGTTGGCTAGGCTGGTCTTGAACTCCTGACCTCACGTGATCCCCCTGCTTCAGCCTCCCAAAGTGCTAGGATTACAGGAGTAAACCACCATGCCTGCCCAAAGATAATTTTTAAGAGGAATTACTTTTGCGTTGAATACCAGTTAATAGCTATCTAAAATGATGCAATCCTAAAGTTTTTGCAGTTCTTTTTGGTTTTGTATGCTAATTGACAGATCCAGTTTGCTGTGGCTTGAACTCATGAAGTATTAAGACAATCTTAGGAATACCACTGAAATTACATTAAAAGAAAATAAGTTATAGGCGGGGTGCAGTGGCTCACACTGTAATCCCAGTACTTTGGGTGGGCAGATAATGAGGTCTTGAGATCGAGACCATCCTGGCTAACAGGGTGAAACTCTGTCTCTCTAAAAATAAAAAAAATAAAAAAAAAAAAATTAGCTGGGCATGGTGGCATGAGCCTGTAGTCCAAGATAGTCGGGAGGCTGAGGCAGGAAAATTGCTTGAACCTGGGAAGTGGAGGTTACAGTGAGCTAAGATTGTGCCACTGCACTCCAGCCTGGACAACAGAGCCAGACTGTCTCAAAAAAGAAAAAAAAAAAAAAAAGGTATGAAACCCATCAAATTAACTTGCTTCTTTGTATCTTTGGAGGTAATATATAGATTAGAGCCATGATTTTCTTTTTTTTTTCTTTTTTTCTTTCTTTCTTTTTTTTTTTTTTTTTATACGGAGTCTTGTTCTGGTGCCAGGTTGGAGTGCAGTGGTGTGGGCTCACTGCAGCCTTTGCCTCCCGGGTTCAAGCGATTCTGCTGCCTCAGCCTCCTGAGTAGCTGGGACTACAGGCGTGTACCACTTGCTAATTTTTTTTTTTGAGACAGAGTCTCGCTCTTGTTACCCAGGCTGGAGTGCAATGGCGCGATCTCGGCTCACGGCAACCTCTGCCTCCTGGGTTCAGGCCATTCTCCTGCCTCAGCCTCCTGAGTAGCTGGGACTACAGGCACGCACCATCATGCCCAGCTAATTTTTTGTATTTTTAGTAGAGACGGGGTTTCACCATGTTGACCAGGATAGTCTCGATCTCTTGACCTCGTGATCTGCCTGCCTCGGCCTCCCAAAGTGCTGGGATTATAGGCTTGAGCCACCGCGCCCGGCCACCTGCTAATTTTTTGTACTTTTTAATAGAGATAGGGTTTTATTATGTTAGCCAGGATTGTCTCCATCTCCTGACCTTGTGATCCGCCCATCTCAGCCCTCCAGAGTGCTGGGATTACAGGCTTGAGCCACTGTGCCTGGCCCAGCTAATTTTTTTTTGTATATTTAGTAGAGATGGAGTTTCACCATGTTGGTCAGGCTGGCCTTGAACTCCTGGCCTCAAGTGATCTCATCTTGGCCTCTGCAAATGCTGGGATTTACAGGCGTGAGCCACTGCACTGGACCTATACTGAAATATTTTAAAATGCTGATATGCTAAATTGATTTGACAACCTGCTAATGTGTTGTGATCGGTAGTTTGGAAAGTATTGGTTTGGAAAGGGTTGAGAGTACAGGATCTTGAAGGGGTGTGGCATCAGACTTCCTGAATTTGTAATTCTGCTCCAAGCTTGCTTTGTTGTTACACTGTTGTATTTTATTTTTCTAAGCCTCAGTTTCTTAACTGTGACAAAAGGAATATGAGTAGCATTTGGTAATTATGGGTTATCTTGAGGGTTAAAAGAAAAAAACCCACTCGAGTATGAGTTGAGCATCCCTAATCTGAAGATTCAAAATCTGGAATGTTCAAAATCTGAAATTTTCAGCACTGACATGATGCCA